TAATTGGGTTGTTATTTGTAGGTCCGAGTAAATTAATTGGATTAATTAATTTACGGACTGAATTTAATTAAATGGATTAATTAAATATTTGATTGGGTCAAGTCAAGCCCATTTGAGCTTATATAAATAACTGATTAGGGTTTACAATTTTATAAAGAATTCATTATTCTTGCTAGCACAAGAAGAAAATCCTAATCTTACAATCTTGTTCTCTGTGTGGATCACCATTGGAAGCTGGACAATTGGACAGCTGTGGGTGACAGATCGAAGTTGCTGGAACGAAAAGAATGGCAAAATGTTTGCAGGATTTTTAAATGTATGACTTTTATCACAATTTCTACTTAAACACAGAGAGACTCTTGGTGGGAATCGAAATTTATTTTAATTCTCGCTGTGCACGTTTAAGTAGATTCCCAATAGTACTAACTATCGTGATACCACTCGTCCATCCCAATTACTTTCACATCTAAATCACCTAGCTTAGCTATTGTTGTGGATTTATAATAACATATCCTAAAGACTCAAAGTTTAAATATAAGATATCCTATATTTTAAAGCGTTAATCCTAAATTTTATGTTAATATATTAAAATAAAGAGTGAGTTTTACTCTCCAAATTTAGACAGTTAAACCACTCTCCCTATATGAATGCATTCAACATACTTCAATTTTCAATGAAGAAAAATAATATAATAATTTGAAGGGAAGCTCGTGAAAATAAAAGATAAAAAAAATTAATAAATATTTTTTTAGAATAGTAAAATTAAGTGTTATATATAAAGAATATGTTGGAGTACTTAAAATTTTTTCTCTTTAAATTTATAAATACTCTTCAAATTATAAAATATAAAATATCCTGGAAATGCGCTTGCATCTTTGCGAGATTGTGAATGCATTCAAGTAAAAGTGCTCCTCCAGTGTTTATATTTTTATATTTCAAAAGTTGACAACTTTTCTCACCGTCCATAAAACAAGTAATTATAATTTATGAATAGCCTAGTGTGGTTTCCAACATTTGCAGGCAATGTGATTACTACTTTTCAATGTTCAAGTTCTGGATCATCGACTTATTTAAATATATAATCTAGGTCTTCACGTAACAAAAATGTCCACTTGAATGATAAAGTTGCACACGATTTTCACGTGACTTAAAACTAAAAAACAAAATCGCAATCTTAAAGTACTCAAGGCAACATGATCATTTCATTACGACTTCCCTTAATCAATTGCACAAACAACGGAAAATATTGAAGATGACAGCTGTTTTGTGCTATAAATAATGAGTAGCTGGAAAATATAGGACTATAATTAAAGCCCCTTTTAAATGATAGAAGATATACAACTGCCCGACGCCATTGACTTGTTTGAAAGCACCTTTGATATATATATATATATATATATATATATATATATATATATATATATATATA